GCATCATTACACCAGTCTGCAGTGTCACATGATCCTTCAGAAATCATTCTATTTGCAGATTTGGTGCTCAAGAAACATTTCTTATTATTATCAATGTTACAAACAGTTATGCAGCTTAATATTTTTGTAGAATTCGTGCCTTTGATTTATTGAAATAAAATCTAATTATGATAATAAATATTTGAAATAATCATTTGTGACATTATAAAAGATCAATTTAATGCTTTCTTGCTGAATAAATATATTAATTAATTAAAATAAATAAATAACACTTACTGAAGTAGTTATTGTGACCTAAGGCATGATACAAATTTCTATCCCATTTGCAGATTTAAGCCACACTTGTTAAGAAGATGGACAGCTATGGGTTTGTATCTTGACTTTGTCCCATGAATGTTACCCCTCCTCGTTTTAAATTCTGAATTTAAAAACATATAAATGTCTGAAGAACATGGCATGTTGTTTCAGGTTCTCCAGTGACATGTTCAGTGGCCGAGCAGTTCTGGGGGAGGACAGCTCGGTCATGGCCCGAATGCAGAAGAAGTTCTGGAAGACCAAGCAGGTTCTGATCAAGGCCACAGGGAAGAAGGAAGATGAGCACGTGGTGGCCTCTGACGCAGACCTTGATGCCAAATTGGAGGTATGAGCACCCTTTTAAATGTAGTAAAATGACCTCTTTGAAGTCAGCTGTAGGTGAAACTGTAACGTCACTGGGCCGGGTTTTTCTTTCAATGACTGTGTATGACTCATTCTGTTTTTTTTTTTAACATTTGAAAGCATATGATTTTTTTTTCATTTGATGTGTGTGAGCCTGACAATGACTGAATGAGATGGAGGGAGGTTAATAGAGTACTGTCACATGATGACAGGGAAGAGAGGAGATGAATTGAGCTCTAGATGAAGCTGTACTATGATCAACTGTGCTTGATGTTGCCACTGTTTACAGACATCCAGTCCAAATGGCCCTGTCACTGTCTCTGTCTTGACTGCCTTTCTCTTATGTGCACACACACTTAACTGTGCTTCCTTCTCCCATTCTCTCTTTACATAATCAGAGAGTGCATTCCCTATGAATCTGTATGTCTGTTGTTTCACAGCAGTCCAAAACAGATTTAGGAATGATGCACAAAGTCACACATAGGTGACACAAACTCAACCATGCCATGTCAGAAATGAACAAGGTACACTACCGTTTTTAAAAGAAATGAATACTTTCATTCAGCAAGGATGCATCAAATGATCGAAAGTGATAGTAAAGACATTTACAATCTTATAAAAGATTTCTGTTTCAAATAAATGCAGTTACTTTGAACTTTCTAAGAATCCTAAAAAAATGTTTTACGGTTTTCACAAAAATATTAATCAACACAACTGTTTTCAACACTGAAAATAGGAAATGTTACCTGAGCACCAAATTAAGATTAAAATATACAAAAAAAATTCTATATTTTTGGTCAAATAACTGCAGCCTGTTGAGAATAAGAAAAAAGTCTTACTAGCCCCAAACTTTTGAACTGTAGTATACCTTTGTATTTTGTATGAGGACATATTCTTGCTACCATATGATACCCAAAGTGATATCATTGTATTTGCTTAAATTATATCAAGTAAAGTGTGTTTTTGTAACAATATCATGCATAAATTCTCCCATCTGACAGATAGCACTGAAATATGTGTCCTGAGACCACACTTTTCAGCACCTTTATTTATAAGTTGACTATGATGTCTCAGCCTTTAACTAGACGGACCTAAAATAAATATTATGAAATAACAGATAAATCAAGCAGAAATGTACTACAGGGACATTTTGTCCCAAATCTTTGAAAAAAAATTAAAATTCTGTCATCTCAATCTCGTGTCATTCCACACCTGTATGACTTTTGACTTGTAGGTTTGGAATAACATGAGGGGGAGTGAGTGATGATGATGACAGAAATTTCATTTTTGGGTGAACTATCCCTTTACGTATTTGGGGCATTAGTAGCCCAAGCCTCGGTTTTGTTTTGATGTTGCACTCCAGGTTTCAGGATCTGAATTCATAAACAGTGATTTTATTGAGCCTGGATTTATTTTAACATGGAACATGACATGAAATGCACTGGCGCAGGGAAACTCTGGAGGTAAAATATAAAGCCTGGAAGTGTTGTATTTGGGTGGTTGTATGTGTGAGAGATAATCTACTTTACATTAGATGACATTTGGTTAATAGTTAGCTTTTATAAAAGAAAGTAGCTGATTACTTGGAATCAAGACCTAATGAAAATCCATAGACCACTCACGGTTTAAGGAAGTATGTGTGTGTTTGTTTATGTGTGCTTGTCTAATCTTGCCCTGCCTCGGGCTGTTACACTTAAGCATATCCTGGTTTACTGGTCATTAGACAGTTTCCAATGTGGAGGAGAGCAGAAGACGGGCCACTGTAAGCCCCCCGGCTGCTTGCTTAATGAACAGGTGTATTCATGTTCTTTCTCCTTTGAGCCACAGCTGCCATTATGATCATATGAATTGACTTTTAGACTGTTTGGAAACAAAGCTCTGTTTCCTCTTAACTTGAAAACAATAATGCATCATCCTTATGGTGCGAAATGACGGAATTTTATATTGGTAAATTCAATAACCATGTTTGTTCCTGAGAGGTGTTGTTCTTGCATGTTTGTCAGGCCTGTGCTCAAGAGTTAAACAGTAACCTGAATGCAGAGCTCACCTGCAGGGGTCACACCTTCATCAGCACACATGGACCTTAGTCTGGCTGGATGCAGTATTTAATTTGATGCACATGAATATACTGTATTAATACAAAAAATGACCCCAGTAATAGATTTCACCAATAATTTTGGCCACTTTCCTGAAATAGAATTTTTTCCCCCCAGACTACGATTATTTGAATACTTTCTTTACAGACCTGCTTAAATACAGCAGTTGTGAAGGCCTGTAATAAGGCCATTGTGCCCTGTAATAAGTATAATGCAGGTCGCTGTGGATGACAGCATCTGTTAAATTACCATCTGTTTGGGTTCGGTAAGATTTTCAGCTTTGAATCTTGTGCTCACCAAGGCTGCATTTATTTAATCAAAAATACAGTAAAACCAGTACGATTATGAAATATTTCAATGTAACATAACTATTTTCTATATTAATATATTTTAAAATTTCATAGATTTTAAAATGTATTTATGTGATGGTAAGCTGAATCTTCAGCAGCCATTACTTGCCGATTTTCTGCATATCGTAACAATCATAACAATCATTTGTTATTATCATTGTTGAAAACAAAAAATAGAACAGCAAAAGAAATTCAAAAGAACAGCATTTATTTGAAATAATGTAACATTATGAATGTCTTTGCTATAACCTTTGATTAATTTAATGCATCCTGGCTGAATAAAAGTATAAAAAAATAAAACAAACAAACAAAAAACGATTGACCCCAAACTTATGAATGGTTGTGTGCCTACTGCTATTCTGAAGGTTTTAGAATGCAAGTTCTAAAATATTTTCTATAGCCCAGTGTTTTCATCCCACTATTAAATGCTGGAAATGAGTCCTGTTCCTATATTTAGCTTCTCACAAGCTCTTGAAACTCTCTCTAGAACAAAGGCAGGTCAACCAGAATGAGTCATTTATATTATTTGTCATTTCTGTGAGTTACTTCTTCCAGGTAGAGCACAAGTGTACACATTCTCCTGCTCGCTTGCTCGACTGTCAGGGACTTAACATCCTTTGTTGCCATGACAGCGAGACTGGAAAGGCAATTTTTTTTTGTGTTCTAGTGTGTCTGTTTTTTTCTTCCTTTTTTTGGAGACGTTTGTGTGGGTGACCAAATGTTCCATCTGAGTATATAAATGCTAAAGGAAATGAAAGTATCAGAGATATTTTGGCGGGTTGCAACAAAATCAGAAATGCTGCTTTTGTAATAAAAAAAACTAAAATAATAAACTATCAAATGCATTTGTTAATGATAATGCGTGTTCTGTTTCCTCCAGTTTTTCCGTTCAGTCCAGATCACTTGCACAGAACTCCTGAAAGTGATCGAGAAATACCAGCAAAGAATCACACGTGAGTGAGGAACATGATCTTCCACCCTCTTTGTGTGTGCAAACACAAAGAGTCTTGTTCAGCTTGTTTTGAAAGCCTTTGCATGCAGTGGCATACATATTCTTAGTTTACATGATGAATACTGTTATTGAGACAAAAGTCAATTTGAAGCATAACTCTGTGTTTTTGTGGTTCTCATAATTGATAGCTTTCAACACATATAATCAACCCACTTATTGTTTCTAATGCTATGAGTTACTGTTGTGGTAATAATCCTGTTTTTGCCTCCTGTGACCTCTCTTCAGACCTCTCTCAAGAGGAGAATGAGCTCGGACTGTTCTTGCGCTTCCAGGCAGAGCATGATAAAACAAAAGCAGGCAGTATGATGGACGCCACCAGTAAAGCTCTCTGCTGTTCTGCCAAGCAAAGGTAGGCACTCCCCTACAAATATGAACAAATCAGGACTTCAGGTCATCAATGCAGTTAATTTCATGATGGTTAATATGTGCATATGTCATTATTAATATATCTCAGTTAGGGAATGGTCATGATGGTTTATTAATCAACTAGTCATCCAAAAACTGAGCAGTTAGTTCAGGGTCAGTGGAACCTGAGACCAGCCTTATTAGACAGTTGATCATGCAACCTACATTTTTAGTTATTGAAAATCCCTAGTTTCACACTAAAGACGCACTAATTAGGAAACCCATAATCTTGGATGTAACTTCTCTATCCTTGCATGCTACTCTCACTCAACAATCATCGGTAATTAATGATTAAGTCATTGGCAACTATTTCTCTGTCCTCTGTCATGTCCAGGTTGGCTCTGTGTGCCCCTCTCCATCGTTTCGAACAGGAAGTGGAGACGTTCCGGAGGAGAGCCATCGCAGACACCCTGCTGACCGTGAGCCGGATGGAGAAAGCACGGACTGAGTACCGCGGAGCTCTGCTCTGGATGAAGGATGTCTCACAGGAACTGGACCCAGATACTTATAAACAACTGGAGAAATTTCGCAAGGTCAGACTATGCAAAGCGAGCAATCAAAGGGGGGACTAGCATCTGTATACATAGAGGTTCGAGTGTCTGCTATATGTGTGTGTTTGCGAACAGGTTCAGGCCCAGGTAAGAGGAACAAAAGGGCATTTTGATAAGCTGAAGAATGACGTGTGTCAGAAAGTGGATATGCTGGGTGCCAGTCGCTGCAACATGCTTTCACATTCCTTATGTACTTACCAGGTAAAAATGTGTAACACTTATTTCCTTCCACCTGTTATTGCTTATTAAACCCATTTCACTCTTATTTCGGAAACCTTTTCTCATCCTGTATTGTTTTTCTGTAGACAACGCTTTTACAGTACTGGGAGAAGACTGCATATGTGATGTCTGGAATCCATGAGGCCTTCAAAGGATATGTACCCTACCAGTTCACTACCCTCAAAGTAGGTGTCCATGCACAAATGCCAAAAAGTAAACCGTTGTCATGAGATTTAAGCTCTCATTTGACTACATTTGACTCATTAAAGGAATTGAGGGACCCACTGGACCAGATTGTCTCTGCACAAGCAGCAGAGGACAGCAAAGACGAGGACAAGAAGACACATCCAGACAAGTGAGAGAACACAGTTAGACATAGGCATGGTTTGACCATGAACCAGCCATTTTGCCATTTTCAGCTTTATGTACGTATGTGTGCAATATACATCACGTGGTCAGTGAATCTCACACAGACAAATCTAGAAGTCTCAGTTTTCTTCCTTATTCATTCTTTGTCATCAACAAAACCTATATTTCCCCTTGAAGGCCCCCTGCTTGCCGCTCATTGTCAGATCTCTCATTCACTCTCTTTCCTCATTCCCTGCAAACCTCTGTCTCCCCCAGAATGGGTCTCTTCAGGCAAGAGGCCTTTTTGAAGGCTCTGGTTACTGATCTGTGAGTGGAACATTGTAATTCTATTAGAAACTCCTGCTACCTTTGTGAAAGAAACGCTGTTTAAAGTTCCACTGTCATTTCCTGTTTTGGCTGTGGGAAATGCAACTGTGTATTTATTTCTGTGCCATGTGTGACATGCTGTTGTACGATACCGTGTCGACCGTTAGACCCTCACTCGCTTCCTAGAAATATCACTGTGACTCACTCCAATTTGTCAATTTAGATCTAATTCAAGGTGTTTTGTAAATCTGATACTGTGTCATAGAAATGTGAATCACCTCTTCTCATCTTAGAAAACTGCATCCATTTAGTCATGCATCATTGTGTCCGTTTAATTTGGTATGTTTATGTTTCAGTCTTGTTTCACTTGAAGATGAACAGCTGGGTGAATCATCCGATACTGGTATGTTCAGCTTTTAAAGCACATTTTGGGAACACACCCAGTCCAACTACAGTCCAACTAATGATTGTTTACTGGCTCAAGTTTCTTAAAAAGATGCTCTTTCTTTCTCTTGTTAACAGTTTCTACTCGTGCAGTAGATGGACAGAGTAGAGGATCAGACAGTTCTTTGTGTGCCAGTCTGGACTCTGGTAAGATGTGTGTGTATGTTTTTGTGTGCATATGCGTGTTTGCATACTAAGCCTTGCACCACAACTCATTGCTACTAATCAACTAGTCATCGAGAAATGTAGTCGACTATTTAGTCAACGTACTTGCATAAGCACACAATAATGTAATGAATTGGAAAATTTTGGCGTTTGACGGTTTTTTTATATTGATAGAACTAATCAACTTTTTGTATAGTCAGAGCAATTCCTAGTTTGTTTGAGCAGCTTTTATTTACAGTATGCCTTTTTGTATCTCTCATCTTCATTTCCACCCCTGTACTGCAGTGTTGAATGAACAATTAGGCCCCATTGGTGGAGCTAGCACGGATGACGACCTCCTATTACTGACCCCTAAGCCTGGCCCGATCCCTTCTCTCACTTCAACCTTGACCCCAACCCTACACCCATCCATGTCCGTTATGCAGCCTCAGATACCGCAGGAGGCCTCAATGCCTCCTGCTATTCAGTGGGGCGTAGGCGTTTCATATGAGGAAATGCAAGATGCCTTACCCAGCAGTCTTCCACCTAAAATAGGTATAAATGCTTGACTGGGCATCTCTTCAATGCCCAGGCTCCCTTAGCGCCTGTTCTTACTCTCTAAAAGCAATCTTAAACCCCCCTTCAGATGTGCTTTAACACCTTGATGTATCAGTTAGGTTCCATAAGAATTATTCAGAAACTTTTTTATGCATACAGCTTTTTTAGATTCCCTTCTCCACTGTAAAACTCTCCAGGTGTTTCTGACACGGTCTCTGTAAAACTGGTAAAAAGCATTTCTAAAAACTGTACTTTCCTCAAGGTTACTTTCTTTGACTTTCCCCCCCCCCATCTTTTTATGCTCTGTTTGATTTTTATGCACTCTTGGAAGATTTTGGGGATTTCTTTTTCATATTTTTGAAGCTTAAATTGACTGATTTGCATTATGTTGCTGATGAGCTAATATTCCTGTTAATGTTTATGCTCTTATGTTTTGATTATGCAACCATGTGTTTCTTGAAGCCTCTCTCTTATCCTTTTTACTGCCACTTCTACTACACTGCAAAAAAAATTCTTCCTCCATATTTTTGTCTTGTTTTCCAGTACAAATATCTAAACATTTTAAAACCAGGATGCATTTTATTGATAAACAAAATAATATGAGATAGCCTTATTTTTTTGTAAATTTTTTTTAAAATCAAAATTAAGTTAGCTTAAGCTAAAAACAGACATTGGGGTAAAAAAAATACATTTGTTTTTTCCTTTGAATTAAGTTTAGAACAGTTGTTATTCTCTTGTTTAAAGCTTAAACTCACTTAATTTAGATACTTTTATCACACCTGATATCTGATGTCATTTCACTTCTCAAGATATCAAGTCTTTTGCTAAATTTATCAAAATAAAGTGTAGGCCATTGTGGCAAGAAAAATAAATAAATATTTCCATTGAGTAAAGTTTGTTTTTCTGACACCACTGGCAGATTTTTTTCTTCTTCTTGTTTTAAGATTAAACTCACTTAATTTTTATGCATTTTAAATGAGTTTAAGCTTTTAATCAACAATTAAATGTAATTAACTTAATTTTAATTAACTTTTTTGTATGTAGTTTGCCTTCCAAAGTAAGTGTTTGTTGATTAAAGTAAATAGAAGTAAATGTTTCTTGATTAAAGAATGTTTAGATTTTTGTACCAGAAAACAAGACAACAGTCCTGAGGGAGCAATTCACTTTTTGCGGATGTAAAAAGCCCCATTATCTTATTTTTTTTGTAGTAGGCAGGGACCTGTTGTCTGAGGCTTTAGACTCTGCGGGGGTGAAAGAAGAGGAGGGAGAGAGAGGTGACCTGGCCTTCCTGCAGGATCTGCTGAGTCCTGGGGCTGCGAGTGGCGCTAGTGAGTTCAGTAAGGCATGGCAGGATGCTTTCGGCTCTTTTGAGGCCCCTCTTGCTCCTGTTGCTGCTGCTTCACCACAAGCAGGAACGGCAAACACACCCACTGGCTTCCTGCCATCACAACTCCTGGACCATAGCCTCAGTACCACAGGTTTGCCCTCTACTGGCTGGAGGAATGAACAGCACAGTTTCGTTGTGCTACTAGTATTCAGTGCAGTCAATGCAATGTTCATATTCATTTTCTTTCTGTTATTCATATTTATTCAGGATGGGCGACTCCACCTATGTTTCAAGCCCCGCCCCTCCAGCCACCTTCCAGTGGAGGACAGCCTACCCAGAATAGTCCAAACTCTTCTACCAGTAGTGGTGGGAGTTTTATATGACATGTCAAAAATTACAGATGGATATGGACAATCTCAGATGCTCTTTTTCTGCTGTTTCTGTTGTGATTCGTCTCTGTGTCATTTTAGCACCTAAAGGAAGGTCCAGGGACATGTCTGCCTGGTTTAACCTCTTTGCAGATCTGGACCCTCTGTCCAACCCAGATGCTATTGGGCGCAGTGATCAGGAGTTCCTCAATGCCTGAGGTGTGTTTTTGTGAGTTTGTATATATTTATCATTGACAAATAAGTCCCAGGTTTATAGAAATGTACTGTTTATTTTGCTTTCAGTGTTGATACTGTTAAGTAAAACTATTAAATGTGACCCGTGCTGGCAAAATGAGTCGGAATGCGCACGGGCAAATTTTGAGTTACAGACAAACCCAGTGAAAAATGTCGATTTTGAGGTTTTCACAAAAATTAGTTCATTAAGCCCTCGTATAGCAATCCCAATGCTCCAAATAATTATTTTAGATGTTTAATTACATTTGTACGTTTTCTGAGAGGAGTACCTTTTCTCCGCTCGCTTCTCGACTGTCATCCGAAGGCGCTTCCGACTGCGCGATCCCAATAAATATACACAGAATTACAGTATTTAAGTATTCACACAAACATAATC